GGAGCTGGCAGAGCTTTGCAGGTGAACAAGGGCCGGTGGGAGGTGAGGAGGATGCCCAGAAGCTCTAGGGGAGCTGGCAGAGCTTTTCAGTGAGCAGGGGTGGGTGGGAGGTCAGGAAGCTGCCCAGAAGCTCTAGGGGAGCTGGCAGAGCTTTGCAGGTGAGCAGGGGCCGGTGGGAGCTCAGGATGCTGCCCAGAAGTCTACGGGAGCTGGGAGAGCTTTGCAGTGAGCAGGAGGTGCTGGGTGGTCAGGAAGCTACCCAGAAGGGCTAGGGGATCTGGCAGAGCTTTGCAGGTAAGCAAGGGCCAGTGAGAGGGCAGGAAGCTGCCCAGGAGCTCTAGAGGAGCTGGGAGTGCTAGGTAGGTGAGCAGGGTCCAGTGGAAGGGCTTGAATCTGCCTAGAAGCTCAAGGGGAGCTGGCATAGCTTGCAGGTGATCAGGGGTTGGTTGTAGGGCAGAGAAGTGCTCCAGAAGCTCTAGCGGAGCTGAAGGAGCTATGAAGTGAGCAGAGGGTATGTAAGAGCACCCGGAGCTTCCCAGGAAGCTCTACGGGAGGTAGCAGAGGTACATAGGTGACTGGGTCCGGTGGGGGGACAGGGATCTTGCCCACGTCACTGAGGACAAAGAGACTGTGGTGAGCAGGTCAGCAGACAGAGATCGCAGGGCAGTAGTCATGGGGCACTGCTGTTGATGGGATCCAGGGATGGAGCATGGGCACTTGCTCATTTGCTGTCAGCCTGGACACTGCAGCTATGTGTTGAGCAGAAGTTCTGAGAGCAGGAGGCCAGCTGCTGGGCCAGAAGCAGGACCTGGAGTCCTGCAGGCACTCAGGGTGAGGGCCCTGCTGTTCATGCAGAGGGCACCTGGGGACGGAAAGCAGGAGCCCCTGGGTAAGGAGCCATGTGGCCTGAGTTGGCAGAACTTGGGCCTCAGATGGTCAGGGGCAAGAGACTGATGGAAAAGAGGCCTGAGTTCCTCTGTGGGTCCAGGAAGTGGGACGGGGCAGGGCAGGCTGTGGGGTAGTAGCTGGGAGGAGGGGAGCCAGCAGGACCCTGAGAGGGAGTGGCTCCATGCCCAGGAACTCCAGACAGCAGGCAGAGCAGGCACCAGAGTGCGGGAGGGCAGGAGGGGCAGTGGGCAGCCCAGGAGCTCCGGGGACCACGGCAGGGCCTCAGTGCAAAGGAGCCCTGGAGGAGGTGGGAGATGTGATGAGAGGAAGCAGAGAGCAAGCCACGGGGCCAGGTGAGCCTGGTGGACAGCAAGGGGTTTATACAGTGGCTCCTGGGTAGGGAAGGCTTAAAGGGGAAGGGACAATGGGGTCTCTGAGACCAGTAAGCAACCGTCCCTGTCCCAGAGGCACCAGTCCTGCTGCAGGGAGGTAGGGCGACATGGCGGGGGGCACAGCACAATGGACCCTTCAGTGGAACTAAGGAAGGTCCACTAAGTGCCTGAGCCAGGGCTTCCTGCCCAGGATGAGGGTGGAAGAGGAGAGGGGACCGAGGGGCAGAGCCCCGGGTTGGGCTAATGGGACCAGGATTGTGGGCCAGGCCAAGCTGTGGGGTGGGGATTAACCCTGGCCACCCTGGTGTCTGGACCACTTGCACCACAGAGACGAGGGGTGCTAAGGCCAGTACCTTGCTGCCAGCCATGCTGAGGATATGGCTGCGCTCAGGAACGACGAGGACCAATCAAGAGCTGGGTGGCCAAGGGCATGTGTGAGCTTAGGAGGACACAGAGCACCGGGGAAGGCTGATGGGCCAGGGGCACAGACTTAGGAGCCTGGGCTGGAGGACGGCAGGGACAAGGGTGTCTCCTCTGGACAGGAGCCAGGACTGGGACAGGGTCCGGGGTGGAGACGAGAACCAGATCACTGCCTTGACTGTGCAGCTGACCCAGAGGGGCAGAAAACCAGCGTGACAGGGGCTCTGGCTGCGGGGTTGGCAGTAGAGCATGGGCAGAGCCCCACAATGAGGAAGAGACTCCATGCCCTGGGCAGGGCTAGGGGGGAGGCAGGACAGTAGCACAGGGGACTGACCGCAAGTGCCAGCCAGAAGGATGAGCCACAGGTCAGAAGAAGGAGGACTCTGTGAGGACAAGGGGGCTGTGAATTCTGTGGTGCTTTGGGGGCTCAGGTCCAGGAGGCCACACAGCACTAGCTGAGCTGGTGAGTCCAGCGCCAGCAACCACAGAGGCACAAGACCTTGGTGGAAGACACGCATGGGTGGCTGCTCTGCAGATGATCGGCCCTGGGCACTGGCCTGTGCCCTGTCCCAGGCCTGGGCCCTTGACACCCTGCAGGGACCTCTGGGGCTGAGGCCCTGGCAGTCACACGGCCTCCTCTCTTGCAGCCTCCACCACGGCCCCAAAGGTCTTCCCGCTGTCCCCCCGCTGTGGGGCCACGTCCGGCTCCACATTGTCCCTGGGCTGCCTGGTCTCCGGCTACTTCCCCGAGCCGGTGACTGTGTCCTGGAACTCGGGCGCCCTGACCAGCGGCGTGCACACCTTCCCGTCCGTCCTGCAGTCCTCAGGGCTCTACTCTCTGAGCAGCATGGTGACAGTGCCCTCCAGCAGCGCGTCCAGTCAGACGTACACCTGCAACGTAGCCCACCCGGCCAGCAGCACCAAAGTGAACAAGAACGGTGAGAACCCAGCCACTGGGGGACATCCACTGGGAGACAGGTCAGGGCAGCCTCCTGCCTGGACAGGCCACGGAGCAGGGATGGCTGCCCCAAGGCTGTGAGGGGAGGCGCTAAAGGTCTCCCCATCCTGAAAGTCCCCAATCTCTGGGAGGGGTCTTCTGGGAATTTCCACCAAGCCCAAGATGAACACAGGCTTGACACCTCTTCCCCAACATCAGGGGCCCCAGAGGCAGATGATGTTCTGAAACCTGCTGAGCCCTGGCTCTGACCTAAGCCCACCCCCAAGGCATTAATAACTACACACAGGCCACAATAACCCTCAGTGTGTTCTCTCTGCAGTGCCCATTGAAAATGACAAACCTCAACCAACTTGCGAGAAATGCCCAACATGCCCACGTAAGTCAGCCCCTCGAAAGAGGTGGCCCGAGCCCAGGCGTGGTCCACGAGGGGATGGGTGTCCTGGGGAGGCCCATGTAGGTGCTGACCCCTGGCCACTGTGTCTTTTACACCAGCTGCTGACCCTCCGGGAGCACCTTCTGTCTTCATCTTTCCCCCACAACCCAAGGACGTCCTCATGATCACCTTGACTCCAAAAGTCACGTGCGTGGTGTTGGACGTGGCTTCAGATGACCTCGATGTAGAGTTCACCTGGTACATGGATGACAAACTGCAGAAAACGTTAAAGAAGAAGGCGAAGGTGTTGCAGTTCAACAGCACCTACAGAGTGGAAGATGAATTCCCCATCGTGCACCAGGACTGGCTGAAGGGCAAGGTGTTCAAGTGCAAGGTCAAGAGCAACTCTGTCCCAGCCCCCATCGAGAGGACCATCCACAAGCCCAAAGGTGGGGGCAGCAGCAAGGTGAGGTGCGGGTTCGAGAGGAACAGCCCCTGACCTTGCAGTGACTGTCTGTGTTGACCCCATCCCACAGGAGAACCCAGGATGCCACAGGTGTACACCCTGGCCCCACACCCGGACGAGCTGGCCAAGAACACCATCAGTGTGACCTGCCTGGTCAAAGACTTCTACCCGCCAGACATCAATGTGGAGTGGAAGCAAAATGAGCAGCCAGAGCCGGAGTCCAAGTACATCACGACCCCGCCGCTGAAGGACAAGGACGGGTCCTTCTTCGTGTACAGCAAGCTCTCCGTGGACAAATCCAGGTGGCAACAGGGACAGGTCTTCGCGTGTGCGGTGATGCACGAGGCTCTGCACAATCACTACACCCAGAAGACCATCTCCCAGACTTCGGGTAAATGAGCAGCGTGCCCGGACCTAGCAACCCCCACCCCATGTACACACCCCAGGCTCAGCATTAAATAAAGCACCCAGCGCTGCCCTGGGACCCTGCCACACTGTCACTGTTCTTTCTGAGGAAGAGCCCAGGCCGGGCTCTGCAGCAGGTTGTCACCATGAAGGGGACAGAGGTGGGCCCGCTGGGGCAGGACCAAAGCCTCCAGGTCTGCAGGCACCTGAGACAGGGGGCGGGGTTTTGCCACCAGAGGCCACTCCTCCACAGTCCCCAGCCAGCACCCGCTCTCACAGAGGAGTGGACAGGGCACAGGGAGGGCCCTCCAGAGCCCCACAAGGATGCGAGGGCCCAGAGTTTGTGTCTCTGCATGAGCCAACACGCTGGGACAGTGTGGCCCTTGTCTCCAAGGCTCCCAGTTCACTACTCCTCTCCGGGCTATATGAGGTGGCTCTGGGCCCACACAGGGGGAGGCCCGGCCCCTGGAGCTGTGGGAAGAGGCTTGTCTTGCCCCAAAGAACCGACCTCCCACCCTCCCTCAGGGCAGGGGGCTCTGCCAGCCTTGTCCGGCCTGGGGCCAGGCCTGCCTGCTCAGGGGAACACACGTGATATTACCCTAAAGGGGCAGAGGCCAGTGCGCTGGGGCCCCAGGGGAGGGACTATCCAGGTGCCCTCAGGGATGCTGAGCCCAGACCCACTGAAAATGAGTCACTCCCACTGACCTGCGCCAGCTCACATGGCCACCTTACAACACACATGCACACACGTACGCACACATGGACACGCACACAGGTCTTACACTCTGGGGCTCCCACCAGGCACCCTGCACAGGCCCCGGCAAGAAAACAGAGTGAGTCTTGCAAACCCCACCGAGGGCTTCAGCCAGGCCACACTCCCTCCAACGCCCCAGGCACCACACAGCAGCTCATCCACACGCTGACCAGGTTACACACCACTTTGCCCTCCCTAATCTGCAGAAATCCTCCCCACTGCACTCAGACCAGCCCTCCAGCCCACCTGCTTGTCTCAACTCGCAGCACTGACCTGGTGCTGGCCCTTCCGGGGGCAGGGGCCCCTCCCATCCTTCAACCCCTCAGGGAAGACAGAGGGCTGACGGACTACAGAGCAGACTGGACAGCAGGGCCACCTCATCCACACAGAGCCCAGTGTGAGCAGCAGAGAGGAGAGGGTGCCCCCAGGGCAGGTTGAGACCTGGGGCCTGAGGTGGAGGACAGGGAAGCTGGGCACCTCTGGTCCTGCCCGGTGCCTGCCACCCTGTCACAGAGGGAGACCCAGGAACCACCAGCCTCACACCAGCCCCACGGCCACCAGCACTGACCTCCCCCTCCCTGTCCAGAGGTGCTCCTGGATGAGAGCTGTGCGGAGGCGCAGGACGGGGAGCTGGACGGGCTTTGGACCACCATCTCCATCTTCATCACCCTCTTCCTGCTCAGCGTGTGCTACAGCGCCACGGTCACCCTCTTCAAGGTGGGCCTGCTGTCCTCACACTGCCCCCGTGCCATTCCCATGTTATTCCTGTGCCATACCCATGGAGTCCACATGCCATTCCCCTGTTATTGTTCTCCACATGTCCCAACACCATCCCCCCACTGACCCCATGTGTCTTCACGCTGTCCCCACTCCACCCCACGTTGTTTGCATGGTGTCCCTACACTGACCACACCCGTGGTTCCCTTGTTGTTCACACATCCTCATGCTGTCCCCATGGCATCCCCACGTTGTGACCTGTTCTTTACATGCTGACACCACACTGCCCCCATGCCATCTCCACATTGTCCCCACACCCTACCAGGTAGTCCCGGCATTGTCCCCATGCTGTCCCTCACTGGCCCTCATCATTTCTCACTGTTCCTACACAGTTGCCCCCTGGCCCCCTCACTCTCCCCACCTTGTCCCCACACCACGCCCATGGGGTCCTCCCCCACCCTGTGGAGGCTGATGTGAGGTCCTGGGCTCTCACCCCTGCAGGTGAAGTGGATCTTCTCCTCGGTGGTGGAGCTGAAGCGGACCATCGTCCCTGACTACAGGAACATGATCGGACAGGGGGCTTAATGCCAGCCCTCACGGGCAGACCTCCAGGGCCTCCCCCGACCCGCACAAGGCCCGAGTCGGCTGGTTGGTGCCACTCAGCCCACTGCCCAGGCCTGCTTCTCCACCCTCTGACCCCACTACCCTCTGGCCATGCCGCCCTCTGACCCATGGCCACCCTGGGCCTGCACCTGTGACGTATGACTTCACAACCATCCCAGGCTGCATCCTGCCCTGTGACCGACCCCTTCGGAGAACGAGGTGGACAGCAGGTATACCTCCAACCTGAGCTGATGGACATCTGCCGGCCCCTCCACTTCAGTCCCCAAGACACCGCCATGGGCCTTGTGGACACCAAGAGCGTCAGCGTGCTGCATCTCCTTCCCAGAACGTCCCTGCCTGGGGTCAGCATGCAAGTCCCCCTGGGGGAGCCTGGGGCCCTGGGTTCCCGGTGCCAACTGGGCAGGATCCAAGATGCAGGCATCTTCAAAGGGTCCTGGGCCCCACCAGGAAATGTAAGCATGTTCCACAGTAGTCACCCAGGTGTCCTACACCAGAGGAGACCCTCAAAGTGGGGCCTGGATGGGCTGCTGCAAGGAACCAGGGTGCCGGGCAGTGCCATCCAGAGAGGGGTGGATGTCCTCCCACAGGCCTTCTGAGGAGGGGACTGTAGATCAGGTCCCAAGAAGGCAGGACACAGCCTCCTCAGGGGACAAAGGACGCCAAAGGACGTGGTCATTGGGGTGCAGAACGCCAAGAGAGCAGGAGAGCTGCCACAACGGGCCTGAGTTCGGCCCCTTCGCCCCTTCCCAGGGCCTCACCCTGCTCCAGCGAGGCAGGGGGTGTGAGAGTTCAGAGGACTGAGTGGCGGGGAGCGTGCCCCCAGCTTCGGGGAGCCAGAATGGTGGGCAGAGGCCCACATTGCCAGCGAGAGCCCAATCAGGTTGCCTAGTTGAGACGGGGTAGATGCAGACCCCATGACTATAGGGGATGCACAGAGAGAGATTGCGCCAAGGAAACGCCACCTTGTAGCTTGGGTTGCTTTTTATTTTCTTTTTAATTTTCTGGATCCAATTACTTTTTGCTACTGTTTTTCTTGTTTTTGTTTTTGCTTTAAATGACAATAAAGCATCCTAACAATTCCGTGACTCGCTGGTGTCTCCGTGTGTTGGGACACCTCACGAAACCCCCAGCCTGTCCAAGTCATGTGTCAGGCCCCCTCACACCCTCCCAGCACCAGAACCTGCCAGCCCCCCATCTCCTCATGCCCTCCACTCCCAGTGGCCCCTGGGCTCCCAGCGGGTGAGGAAGACCCAGAAACAAGGGGGCACCGGGGCACACAGGTGCCTGCGGCAGGAAGCTGGACTGCCCGTGGCCAGAACAAAGACGCACATGATGGGAGTGTCAGTCAGCACAGACAGGCAGCTGAAACAGAAAAGAGATTCTGTCCCCATCCTGTAGCTGGAGGTTCCAGAGCCTGAGTGGCAAGGCTGGCCTTCTGAGGTGTCCCTCCTGGGCATGGAGACAGACACCTCCTCTGTGTCTTCACATGCCGTCCCTCCCTGTGTCTGTGTTGCAATCTCTTTTTGTCAGGATGCCAGTCAGACTAGATTAGGACCCATTCTGATGACCTCATATTAACTTACCACCTCCAGAAAGACCCAATTTCCAAACACAATCACATTCCAAGGTGCTGGGGTGTTAGGACCTCAACACGTGAATGTGGGGACACAGCTCAGCCTCACACACGCGAGTGGGTGCGAGGAACATGGGCCAAGCAGAAGGGTCAGTGAAGACCAGGCCAGGAGAGGCACCCGTTCTGGGGTCAACACAGATCCAGGCAGCAAGCAGTCATAGGGGCGAGGTCCCGTGACCTGAACTTTCCTTGGGTTTCTGCAGGGAGAAGGGCGAATCTCAGGAGAGTGAGGGGCCAGGGGGCTACAGGAGGGTAAGGAAGGGCGGTCCAAGCAGGTGCCACAAACTGATGGCCCGCTAGCCGGCAGTGGCGGAGTCAGGGCTGTCCTTCACTGAGACGGGGACAGGCCCACCCTTCGGGATAAGCCCTTGGGCTGTGGAGACACAGGCCGTAGGGACCAAGGCAGCTTTCAGGTGTCTGCCTTCTCAGTAAAGCTCTGAGGTAGGAGGCAGGCATGCCAGGTGTTGGCCAGAACAGGTTCCAAGCATTGGGGTGGGCTACAAGATGGGGGGCATTGGTGAAGGGCCTCTCCTAGCACAGCCCGGGAGGCCCAAAGCCATGGGAAGTTACCCTTCGTGCTTCCTGTGAGTGGGGGACGGTGGGCTTCATGCAGCCAAGGGGTGTCATCGCTCCAGCACAAGGTAAATCACATGCGGGAGCCTGGCAGTATGGCCAGCATGGGCCCAGGGCCACATATGGCCCACAGGGACCCCGGCCAGACAGGCTGTCAGTTTACAGGGCCCCAGGTGGTAGAACTGAAGGTCACGCTACTCGCAATGTCTCTTGCACCCAGCCCAGCCCTTTCTCCCTCTCTGCCCCCAGGCCCACCCCTCACTTCTATCATCGGGACCAAGGCATGCACCTCCAGCCAGCCCACCCCTCCCTTAGGGTCACACTCCCAACCACGGACCCAGTGGCCTCCTCACTGAACCCAAGACCCTGACTTGGTCTACAGTCACAGTCCTTGGGGCTGGAAAGCTCTCGGGAACTATGCCAGCAATGCCCCAGGCTCCCACCCATGACCATCCAGCAACACTGCACCCAGGCCACCCCACCTCTCCCACTGTCTGCTTGCCCTAGAGCTCATGCAGTTGCACACATGTGAGTCCTGAGGCCCCTTCTGACCACATGCAGCCTTCAGCCCTGAAGACTAGCTCTGACATGCACACCTCTGTTTGTGGTTCACACACTCACAGACACTCTGAGGTGCTTGAACACACTCAGAGGCCCTCACATTGCACACAATGTCCCACTCCCATTCTCGAGTACCGACCACCAGGATTCATCACAGCGCCTCATCCCTGAGCCTTTGCACACATACCCTCCCTCCCGTGGGGCACATCACACTCCCCT